TATAAATGAATACTTTAAGTTCCCGTAACTTTGTGTAGTCCGTTACTATTCCAAGCAATTATTTTGAGTGTTTCATCCATTACTTATGTTTAATGTTGACAAGCTTTGTTAATAGTTACAACATGGTTGTAATTTTCTGGGTCTGCTGTAGCAACGTAGTTTGTGTTATTAACATTTTTCTTACAAGTTCAATGTTTTTCATAGAATGAGCGAGGAGTTGTTTTATTTCTGAATCTTCATTTTGAGCTAGATCAGTTGTGTTGATAGTTTTGTGTCGGGTTTCAGTGATCGAGATGCGGTGCTTTCCAAGCTAATAATACGTGTGCATAAATTTTGTGCTATTTCTATGTAATAGTCAGTTGTGGTTGGAATTGACGGTGTTCCGTGCATTTTAACGTGATTGGCGTTTTCTTGAGATAGTGTGAGGTCATTTGTTTTTCTGAGTATGGGGAATAATTTCTGTTGGAGTTGTTTCCGAACGATACAGCTTTTGTAACTTGTCGGTTGGTTTCCTTGACAGTTACGACATTTAACAGCTTCAACTTTTCCTTGTTCGAAATACTGAATTGTTAAGTAGTTTCCTGTATATTTGACGCAGGCTGGTGGCTTATTGTGATAATTTCTCGTGTAACCGAACATTTGGCAACGGTGACATTGCGGAACGCTTGTTCGGGTTTTGGAGGTTCAAATCTTACAATTATGTTTAACACTTTTTCGATTTTAAATGTTTTTATTGTTGTGTTTCGATACTAGTTCAATAAGGAAGAGTGGTAGTGGTTATTTAGTGTCAAATTTAGTTACGTTATTTATGTCTCTCTTATCCCTTCTAACTGTGTGGTTCTGTTCTCGTAACCCTTTGATAATTTTATTTGTGTCTGATTTTTGATGGATATCTCGTAGTACTATTTCATAATTTTATTCCGTTTTCAATTGATAAGCGTGAAAATTTGCTTTATTATTTATTATTTCCTTTGCTAATTTACTATAGTTTTCCGGAGATTTGACTTGGACTTTTACTTGATTTTTTTTTACTTAATCGAGATTGTAATGCAGTATGTGTCAATCCTCACACAGAGGAAACGAAGAGCTCATAACATATATAAGCACTATTAGCAATTACACTATTAGTAACTGAAATAAAAGAGCTCTAAAAACAAAACACTGCTGACAATAATACCAATTATCATATTCGTTACGGCAGAAAACATTTTAAACCGGTTTAAGACCCTGACCATCCACGTATATACATATTCATTCAAGCCTGCAAAGAGCATACTAAAAATAATATCAGCAAACAGGAAAATACTACACCGTAACAGAAGAATATGTATCACGATAGAAAATGATCGTTAAACTACTACGAATAAAGTAACGACGATGATAACAGTGAGAACAAAAACAACAACAAAAACAACGAAAACAATAATAGTATTACTAATACTAATAATAATAATAAATCGCATAAGAAAAACCTTTGCAGGTGAAAAAGGGAAATGCAAATGAGATCAAATAAGGGTTCTAATATCTAATATATAAAAATATAAATAACCAAATATATATACTACCATATATGCAGATATATGTACGAATAATTAAGTCAAAAATTTTATAGACTTTTAGGAGATCAACTCAATTCTATTTTCGATACAAATTGCCAATGCTTCTGCGTTTTCACACATACGTTAATTCTCTTTCACATTCAAGTCGATTCTAATTGTCGTTTCTGCGAAGAGACTTATCTATTGAATATATTTGTTTCCATTCTCTTTGTTCCTTTTTCTCACTTTCGTACATACACACAGCCACACGTACTTATTTTTTTTTTTTTTTGAAGAAGGTTTTACACGTTCCTAAATATATGTAAGATAAACAATAGAACGGAAAAATAAAACAAATCGTGCAATATAATAATAAGTGGGAATTGTAATGACTGATTTAAAATTATAATAAAAATTTATTATGACGAAAATATACTAATGTGACGAAATATAGTTAAAAGATCCGGAAAGTTTCAACTTTTAGTATATGTATAATTGTAGACGGTAAGCGAAGATACTATATTTAGATTTAATGTGTGATTGAATATCTTTTAACCGACGTATAACTAGATTATAATTACGACCATTTATTCAAAGACAATGATGACGCCACGACTTTACGACTAACTTCGGCTAACGTATCTTCTCATTTGTATAACATTTACATATACATTCTTTCCTTTTCTAATATTCCATCGCCTTTGCTCTATGCAGCCATTGCCAAGACGTATTCAGGCACGTCTACCTAAAATTTTTAATGACGATGCATCTTCGTTCACACGACTGTCTTTAGCATTTGGTTGAAACACTCTTCTTTCACATCACTGACAACATAGCTCAAATATCTAGCCCAAAAACATAAAATATTCTATTCTATTTAAAATATTCATTTAGTCGATCTATATAAAATGTTCTTTTTTTCAAATGTTTAAAATGATGCATTTTGTTCGATAATCAATTATTAGTAATATTAAATAAGAATAAATATTCTAATATAACATATTATATATTAAAGGTTTTTTTTAAAAAAGCGCCGTATTTTAGCATCAATATAAAATACACATCGGTGGAATTTGTAAAAGTAATTTCTTTCAGCTATTTTTTTTTTTTAAATAGGTAAAATCCACTCAATACCGTGGATCGATCTCAATGATTCTGATTTATGTATCTATAAGTAATTAATATATTTTGTCTGTAAGTTTTATAACTTTTTTAATCTCCGAGTTTAGCAATTTCCATCGTAGGTATTAATAATACCTTGATAAATCTGGGCGAAATTTATTTTAAATAGTAATCTAAAAATATTTATATAAAATATCGTAAATTATTATTTGATAAGCAATGTATTCCAATTGATGGCATATTCTTTATTTTGTAAATTAAGTTATATAAATTCAAGAAATGATTATTCATCAAAATAATTCGTTTTGTGAAGTGACAAGTAAATTATTTAATTGTAAATATATAAATTGGTTTTTTGCTTGAAGCACTTCATGAAATATTTGCATTAACTCAAAAATAGATTATTTTTAAAATAATTTTTAATGGAGTAATCAAAAAAGTGGAATGAACATGTTAAAAACTATTTGGTTCACTTAATTCCGAATTTTAGAATATATTTTCTTCCAGTAACTACTAGCTGATATCTTGAATTTTTTAAAATATGCAAAATTTTAACGTAGACTGCTGAAAAAATGGATAAAAGTTATATTCAACTTTAAGATACAAATGGTGATTAAAAAAAATTTGGCTTTTATCTCAGATTCACTATCTCGCATATTTCATGAAATTAAAGAATATATTTTATCTGAGATTTGTAGGGAATTTTTGGAAAATTGTTATGGGGCGTGGTACGTATTACATGTTTTTAATATTTGGATATAATAAAAAATTTGAGACCTTTTTATACGTTTAAAAGGTATATAATAAAATGCTGGAAACCACAGATAGTCATTCTGTTCAATTTAAACCGTTCGTTAACCCTTTTTAGTTCGTAATAAATATTTGCTCGTTGCACCTAAATATGAAAGAGCAGGGACGCTGCTGCAACCTGTTACAACTACAATATCCATTTTGAATATGCAGTCTAAACAAAAAATTTGCTGAAATAGAATCGTTGTACTGGTAGATAAGCCATTTAAATCAACTAACATGAAATGTCCAGATACAACAATTTTATAAAAAAGGAAATTATTCGATTTCTAATTTGTAATTTATAATGTAAGTATATAGATCATAATAAATCATATATCTAGCAAATTTTTTCTATTGGACTATATCCAGGTGAAACCGATGATCGAACTTCCAGTGCTTTTTCCATCTTTTTTATATACAGAGTGAACGTTTTATCTGGACCTTTTGGAATACCTTGAAAGGAACTGAAGAAATTAAAAAAAATGTTCTTACAAGAATAACTTGGTATAAAAATGACCCAATATGGCGTAAACCATTCTTTTGTATACGGAACGATATAAGAGCTTTCAGAGACAAGTTAATTTTTTTAAATTATTTTATATGGAATATTAAATTTTTTCATTCATAACTCAATATTAGCGTTTAAGATGAATCAAACAAGGTGGTATTATACGCACTTCGTTGTGTGAGAAGTTGGTAAAATCGTGACAAACCGTGATATGGTCAACATAACATAATTCTTGTAAGATTATTTTTTCGATATCTCCAAATCCTTTTGCGATATTTCAGAAATTTCAGGTAAACCTTGTATAATTTTATATTAGTGGAATATAATTTTACATTAATTCAATTAGCGAATTACGCAAAACTTTTGACAGAGGAAACGTTTAATTTTTACTGTTTTGTCACTTTATCATAAAAAATTCCCAAATAAAATTATATTCGAAGCACTCGTTATGCTCTGCGAGTATACACAAATTTTCATCAAAATCAGCATGTGGTTAGGTCACCTTATCGAAAAAAAATTTCAATATAAAATTGTATTCAAGGCACTCAAATACAGGGTGTGCCAGCAACGGTAGTATAACAGGGAAGGCGATGATACTACAAGTAGAAACGAATCAAAGAAAAAGGAATAACAATTTATCTTTGAAAGTTCGTTGTTAAGAAAATCGATTTTGAATATCCATCGAATACGCTAATGTACCTATGGTACATTCGTCTTAGCAAAAGTTAAGTACACGCGTACTCGGTGAATATTCAAAATCGATTTTCTCGAAAACGAAGTTTCAAATAAAAGAATTTAAATCTTTCCTTCCGATTTATTTCTCCATGTAGAATCGCCTCATTCCCGGTTATACTACCGTTGCCGACACCCTGTATATTTCATGGGTATGCACAAAGTTCCAAGAAAAGCGGAATATTTTGGTAAGGTGAATTTTCTTGCGATATAGGGTGCCAATACTTTGTTTACACACTGCAGAATTGCGAAGGGTGAAACGCAGCGCGTGCAAAGGGTCAATAAGTGTTAAGTTATGAGGAACATACCATACGTAGATGGGAACCACCGGGCATAGTGATGGTGTACAAGTGGCAGCCCCGAGTTCTTGGTAGCCTTCTTTCCTTTATATGGGCACGTCCTCTGACAGCCAAAGGACGTACACGAACATGAGTACGACGGATCACGGGCTTAAATTTCGCGGTGGCCCGGGTCAAATTCTCGTAATCATTCTCTTCGCTTTCATCAGCGTCATCGTCCATATCCTCCTCGTCGCCATTGTCTTCGTACTCCTGGTCGTCTTCGCGATCGTTCAGCACGTCGGTAGACCTATTACTCGTGTTCTCGAATTCACTTAGACGAAAAACGTACACGTTGCTCTCCTTGCCTTTGTCACCGGTGCGAAATAATAATATTCCGTGTTGCTCCACTACGTCCAGTTGCTTGATCTGCACGGACTCGTCGAAGATCAGTCTGTGCGATAAGCTGTCTGAAATCGGAAGCATTAGTAGCAATTATAAAAAAATTATCAAAATTATAATTTTATTATAATTTGGGGTGTCACGGTTGGAATACTACGAGGTCTTTTATGTTTTATACTTTGTCTAGAAAGAAATTCTAAATGAATTACGTGGAAAGAGAATTACAAATTTCCTGGGGTTTATGATTATATGGTATAAACTATTTTCATATATGAAGCAAATTTCAAAGGTTTAGTAAAATTTTAAAAGCGAATCTCAATTTCGAGAAATTAAAAAATTAAGAAATTTCAGAGTTTTAAATGTTCCACGTTTTAATATTTGTTAGTATATCTCTTTAATTTTAAGAACATAACCATAGCGAACAGAAACCAATCGTCAAAATTAATGTATATGTGTTATTTATAAATATGCTATAAGCATTTATAATATATGCATGCCTCGTAAAAACATTGTTAAGGATTGACCATTTTAAATATTCTTAAAGAAATTGTTAATATTTTATGAGTGAAAAGATATATCAAGACACGTAGAAATTTTTTGTTATAAACCTAGAAAAAGAAATTTCAATTTGCTATAAATATTTATTTTTCCCAAAAGATGCTAATGAGATATTCAATTAAATAATATTATATGAATATTTGCCAAACTATTATAAAACTCGAGTTACATAATTTCAAAATTTTAAATATATTACCAAAGTATTTATTTTGCATTAAAAAATTGCGATTCATACAAGAAGTTACGTTAATAATAAAATATCAAGAAAATCCTACTTACGATTATTGCAGAGTCAAAGATGGAAAAGATACATGGCTCTGGTGCGAAATGAAATTTAAACTATTATACGAAACTAATAGTCATTAAATTTTAGTAAAAAAAGTTTACCCAATTTCACAATGATAAAATGATTTCTTTTTAAAAAGAAAAATAGAAAATAAGTAAAACGTTACGTTAAATACGTAAAAATTATAAGTCGTTTATTTCTGTAATCGTATATTTATATGGGACTCCAAATTTTCACATACGTGTAGGTGTTGCATAACTGTAATAAAATCTTTTGGAAATGTATACATTTTAAAATATATTTATCATTGGTCTATAATATTTTATAATATTCCCATTTTCATTGTATTGAAATACGTAACAAGTTAAACAACTTTATTTTATAATATTTAAATTTCAAGCTAAAATTCCTTAACGTTTTATATGCCAGGTAGATTTCAATTAATGAAAATTCCAGTCGTTATATTATTTAGTTACGAAATACGAATATTTAATGGAAGATATAGATACCGGAAGTGAAATATGAAAGAAAAAGTTTATAAAATTGCGATAAGAGAAAGAAGAATATGGTGCAAATTGAAAATTGAAAATTGAAAAGGCATATTATTGGAACTGTATATCTAGAATCGATGATTTATGGCAAGATGAGAAATTCATTGATCGCAGTAGTTCAAATTCTATTTACAATATTTCAAACCGCAAATGCATTTTTTCTGAAACCAGGTTTTCAAAAAGACGTTCGTGATTACACGAATATCATTTAACCGAGTTATTTGAAATATTACAACGCTACAAAGTGTTTGACTTACAATGAATAGAATTTCTTATTCAATTTATAGTTTTCCTTCTGTTGTATAGAGATTGCAACGTTTCATTTCGTGTTTGAAAATGTAGATTTTCACTCAGAGTACTGCTATTTCTTTTTATATTTCAAAAATTATCAACCTCAAAAACGTTTGTCAGTATACTTGAAGGAACTAATTTATTTTTGTAATAAAGATTCGTTGTTATAGGAATGAGTTATTGCAGTGATTTACACATTTGCGATTAGCTTCTATAACAAGTGAGTATGATAAATATTAATATGTACGAAATTTATTATTACATCGAAAGATATGTTTAAATTATTAAGATTAAGAAATAAAGAAATATTTATATTTTCTTGGAAAAAAATTTAGAAGAATTGTTAATATTTAGATCTTTCTTCTTAAAGGACAATTTTCGAAAAACTATAACATCAAAATAACATAAAATTAACAATTTTATGTAACAAAATATATATTTTTTTAAAACCTTCACATAGACGAAGCGTATAATAATCTAATGAATTTTCTAGACAGGATTATATTTTATCAAATAAGTGCATTTCTTTTGTATGGAATATTCAATTCATCGATACTTTGGTACATGTAAAAATTAAAAATTTCGCTTTAATTTTATTATTTATTAGCCTAATTTCTGCGGTTTACTCGTTGTTCATTAATTCCGATAGAGTCGAAATTTTGACACTTAACAAGAGTGAATTGGATTCCTTTTAGAAGTATCATAAGAGTCTGTATATTAAATATTTTTGTCTAGTAATGCTAACTTCATGTTATATCTTATGTGCCATTTAAACTATCGTACAAACTTTTTTTAATTCGTATGATTTATTTTAAACGCTTATCCTAAAATAGCTTAGTAACTGAACAAAACAAGTATTTCACGTCCATATACCTTCGTCACTTAACTCTTTGCACTCGACGATCTTCTCATTACAGAAACATAGTAATTCGAAGATTTTGTGCCATAAAATCGACAATATTTTCAAAACGGTAAATAAGAAGTGCGAAATAATTGTAAGACGTAGAATTATTTTAACACTAGGTTTACGGACGCTATCTATATACCTACTTCTATGGACACCTGTCAAATTTACAGGTAAAGGAAACCTCGTGTCTTTTTTTTTTTTAGCGATTAGTTTAATTTAAAAATAATTACAATATTAACAGTAATAATATAAATTACCTAAATCTGTTACCATCGTATAATTGGAGCAACCCATCCGTCAAATTGACGGGTTTCGTAAATCTAGTGTTATCTCGATATTCCACGCGTCGTTGGGCAATTTTAAATTCGAGATATTAATTAACAATGATCTTTAGAATCTGATTAAATGGCGACTGGAAGGCGCCTCTCGAGTGCAAAGGGTTAAAATACAATAGCATCGAGGTAACTATCAGGAATTTTTCCGTGTTACATTACCGCCATTATCTCCTCTTAAAAGTCACTTCATGATGGTATTTTAGACGGTGTTACGTATCTAAAGCAAAAAATCTCTTGTTCTCAATGAAAACATACACCCAGAATGTTCTGAAATTTTACTTCGCTTGATAACCGACTGCATATGAGCATGGTCCTTAGTCACAGTTAGTTAACGCTATACTGCTGTACGTCACTTAAGAGCATGTTACCATTAGCATGAAATCAATTCTGAATCCAAGTGGATTCCAGTGTTATACCAGAATACCATGGTCGACTCGAACGATACAACGCGCTTAAAATTAATCGGGTCTGAAAGTATAGCATGTACTTTTATTAAGAATGATTTTTAAAGTCAAATTTTTTTTTTTTGCTTCATCATATTTTACGCGACAAAAATAAAATTCTAAAAAATTTACCCGTATTACTTATATATCCATAGAAACAAATGAAACTGCAATGGTCGTGACAAATAATTTTTCATATACCCTGAACAAATGTTTTCACTTTTGAAACGGTAATTTAAGATACTCAGAGGAAAAAGGCGTTAATAAGTGTCGAGCAATGAAAATTTAGAATTAATTGCTTCTTTACTGGGTATTATTGAAAATATTTCGCGAAAAATTAAAGTCGCTTTTAAATGTTTGAGATATTAAATAAAATTTAACGTAAATTAGTAACAAATGATAGTTACACCATTGTGTGTTATTGGTTCATTATTAAATATCAATTCCAAGGTGAAAGCAATTTTGTAAGCCATCATGAACATGTAATTATTAGAATAGTATATCGAGGATTAAATTTACTCTGGGGCAAAACGTAATATGTACATAAACTGAAAGTCGGTTAATGCAATGAACATATAACATAAACATTGATATATATATAGCAAATTTGATAATCCGTACATACATTGCCATCCAAAAGAAGTTTGGAATCACTTTTAACATTTATGGTTCATGGAAAGAACAAAAGCAACTAAAAATTGATGTAATTATTGTTTCTCCTTAATAATGAGATATTTTTTCAATTGTGCTGTTATACATTGTTTTTATATCTGTAAACAATCGTGTCATTTTTTACTTTCTCGTTATATTTGTGTATTTCGTGTTATTTTACGAATTACGAGATTTTCTTCTTTGAAATTATTTCATTGCGCCATAAGGGTGATAATACTTCGTTCTTTTTATTAGAGAGCAAATTTTCAATAGTTTTTGGAAAATATTTTTATTAAAACGGACTATTACGATAAAAAAATAAGCGTAAATGCGTAATTTCAAATAAACATAATAATTTGACATTGTTATTTTCTATAATAATTTAATAAATATTTAATAGCTCAAACATCAATTCGAATCTTTTTCAATTAAACAGTACAAGGTTTTTGTTATCGAAGAAGTGATTCCAAATATTTAGACGTGTATACAGTGTATACGTCATACTCGCTAAGAATTGACTTCGGTAATGACGTACATATACGACATAACCGCTCAAGAGGATAAAATTCAAAGTTAATCGATAATTTCTGCGATTGTATTGCTCGATTTATTAAATACCTATAATTATAAACCGTAGACAGTCCAAAAGTATCGACGACACGAACGGTGTTATTTAGGTATCAATCGTCGCGTGATATGCTATTTTACTAGCGCAGTATGTCATTGGAATCAACTGTTTGCTCGCATTTTCCTTAATGGTTGTTAGTATTAACCATTCATTGGTTTGTCCTCGAAACTTACCCCTCGTGGCTACCAGTGATCGCGTGACACTGATTCGTCTACGTCAGCCTATCCTGTGACTTCCGGTGTTACCCAGACACCGGTTCGATCAATCCTACATTACAATTCCGATCTGTCCATAAATCTCAGCCATGGTTAGTCAACACAGTACCACTGCATATCGCGTAGAGCGTGTCGCGAGCTTCGTCATTCCGCATCCAAGTGAACTCTAGCGTTGTGCCAGAATAGTAGTAGTTTCGTTTACCTTTTACTTAATGGCTCCCTCTGTTTGGCATACGTTGATTTGTCCTCGAAACTGTACCCTGTGTACCAGCGATCGCGTGACACTGATTCGTCTACGTCTACCTTTTGACCCTCGATGTTAGCTATACACCAGGCCGACTGACCCTACGTTACAATCCTGATCGATCTACAAACTTAGGCCACATTGCCGCACTTGGACCAAGCTCGGTCTTTGTGAACACGGTAATACAATTAATCGTTCGAGTGCCAGGGGTCAATAGTGCCAAACGATGCCAATGACGCTTGTTTTGGCTTACGCTGAAAACCGTTAGGTGGCACGACCGTGTTTTATGTACTCTGAATATCAGTAATATCGAGGATGTACTATAAGGTGGAGTTAGAATGTTTCCTCACAGAATTGTTTAACACTAGGTTTACGGGCGCTACTTGTATACCTATTTTTAAGGACACCTGTCAAATAGACAGGTAAAGGAAACCACGTGCCTTTTTTTTAACGATTAGTTTAATTTAAAAACAATTATATATTATACTAACAGTCTTAATATAAGTTAACTAAACCTGTTACCATCGTATAATTGGAGCAACCCTTCCGTCAAATTGACCGGTTCCGTAAATCTAGTGTTAAGCGTGTTTTGCAGATGAGACATGGAGATTCTAATTAGTTAGAATCTAACATTACGCCATTAGACGTCATATCGAGTAATTAAGATTTCCTCCGTTAATAAGATTTAAAAAAAGAAAGGTATATTTAGAGCGTATCGTCAATTGTACATATTTAAATTGTACAAGGCATAGCTATACTTTTCGACATAAAATCTGAACAACGCAATTGCGCGACGCATTCATACCCTTAGATTACCAACGAGAGAATACTTCAGCAATTAGGTCTCTTGGAATCTCCTTCGGTCAATGACCACGTTACGGTATGCTGAGGGTTAAGAAAATAATTATTTACAGATTCTGTCTTACCTTCGATCAAAAAAGTTCCGTTCTCAGTGGCAAGAACCATCCTGCTGTCTAGCCAAACGTCCCCGCAGACGACTTCGTGAGGAAAGTCCGGATAGATGCACCTTGGCTCCCATGGTCTAGGTTTCAAGGGGCCAGCCGTGGCCAAGGAAGTTGGCGCTAAACCTCTGACGATCGCCTCGAGTTTCAGGGCCTGGCCGACGCGCACCATCTCCACAGCACGCGTCTCCTCGCGACGACGACCTGGAGCCTCCACCACATCCGACAATGCTCGTCGGTTTAACATACTCTGCGAAAATTCGATCGGTTTTCCTTTCTACGGGGGGAGAGGGAACAGCCAATACACATCACAAAACTCTGCCCTTTTCGTTTTCTCTTTCTTGTTTGTCAAGTTTTGATCGTTAGTTAGATGGATGTGATGGGAGTTCGTGCAAAAGTGTGCGATTTCATTTTTCTGCTAAAATATACCATGGTGTTTAAGTAATATTTGTTACTATACTTATTACATGGAGCTATCATTGTCGGACACCGAAAAGGTCAAAATGATGGGTTTGTATACCCAAAGGGGTACAGATATACTTTTACATACGGAAGTATTAATACTCACATTTGCTATATTTAACGAGTGAAATATAAACGTTAAATTGAAGTATTTAAAACGATGTAGTACGAAGAAAGTCTCAAAATTCTCTCATTGTCAGTAAAATTAGGAATAATTCAACGCTGAATACGATATTTCTGTTACACGTTTATTATAAATAACAACCATGGTGGCGCTAGTGTACTCAATGGAAAATCGTCTTAGATATTGGAACTTTATTTTTCAATAAATTGTGCTTTCGAGCAATAATTTTCTGATCCATCGATGATCTATATTTGTAATAAATATACTACAAGTATAGTATATATCGTTGAATTCTTTTAGGATTTTATTGATACAATCTTGAGACTTTGCTCTTATTTTATATATTAAATCGGTTTGAACCTAGTTGTTCAACACTACCACCATCGATAATTTATATTTATTTCTAATAATGAAAGCAATTCAATATAAATGATATAAGTGAAGCGTGAGTAATAATGCATAAACGATATAAACGATATAGTTCTAAGTAACAAGAGAAATTAATTTCGTTCATTTTACTTTCTAAATTTTACTTTTTAATACGAGCAAACAATACAAAAATCGGTTATAGTCAAATAACTTTGTACACTTGAAAAGCAGTAGCAGATTTTTTATTCTTTTAGTTTGAAGAAGGTTTAAAAAGATTATGGTAAATTTAACGTAATATGTATTAACGTGTATATCTCACTGATTAAAAACAGAAAATGGAAATGGTGGAATTATCGTCTACGAATAAATGTATAAATAACATTCAGATAATTGTCAATCGTTTTAAAAAGGTACTTCGATACTTTTTGCAGGTAAATAACCCGGGATAATAGGGACAAGTGTACGTTTCTAATGTACATAATATATTGCTTTACCATTCAAATATCATTTTTAGAAAAATATTATATGTCATACTACGAATAATACCTATGATATTAATAAACATACATCCTTGACATCATTACTATTATAATTCCACTTGACACTTATAACACATTTATAGGTTACTCTACTTTAGTAATTAAAATGACTAATAATAGAAAAATTGAATAAAAAATTAGTAAACTGTGATAAGACATTTAAAACACTTAGACTTATAAATAGAAAAGATATACGGGGTATATTGTAAATTAAATGAAAGAAAAATGCAAAATAAAATTATTCTCGTTTCAACCTTCATTTCCTAAATAATCAAATTTGAAGATTCCTCCTACGTGAATATACCAGGGTGAGTCGTAATTTCTAATATAACCAATTCTGTGCACCGTTCTTATGTACAAGATATTCCAGGTTTCTTTGGCCAAAGTTTATTAATACAATATATTTTATGAGTACAGATAGGGAAAAATATTATGTAAACTGCTTGGAGCTTTATTAAAAATATATATAAAAAGTACGAAATACGAAGGGAACTGAGGTGGATCTGTTGCTATCGCAAAAAGATAAAAATAAAAGGTAATAATAAGTTTCAATCAAAATAATTACTGGCTTTTAATATTGCATTACAAAATATTCACCGTTCCTATTAATATAAAATTGATAGTCGCAAAATGTTTAATATATTACGTTAGAAGTTCATTTTCATTTTGTTTTATTTCATCGAATGAATTACTAATTTTTCGTATCAGTCCATTTCGAGTATTAATTCGAGTATTTATTAATAAACCAAGATGGTTCAGAAAGTTCGTAATAAAATTTCAAAAAAAAATTTGTTTTTTTAATATCGTTATTTTATTTCTTAATATTAATATCGTTATTAATTTTACTTTCGAAAATCTGTAATAATTCGTTACATAACTTTCCAAAATAATGAAGATGTTTTCGACTTATACAACAACATTTTTTCACCGTTTCTTAATGTCGTGACATCTTCGATGCTTTATTATTCAAAAAGTTTCCTAAAAACCAATATAAGTTATAATCGTTTCTGATGTCGAGATCTAATACTTCTAATACTTTTTATCGGTTCTTAATTGACAGGTGCTACTTGATAGCTTAATTGATAAAGCCTAATGACGCTTTTCTATAAAATAACATGTTTTTGTTGACCATTTTTAAACGTTTGTCTCTAACTACTGTAATTAATATTTAATTAGGAACAGTGATGTTCCGAATTTAGTATTTCATTATTTAATAGAAGTTTAAGACAAACAATTCCCTTTAATATCAGTTAATTTTCCGCCTATTTAAGTACATGATGTAAAAGTTAATAATATGTTCCAGTATATTTAATTGCCTTCTTAAAAATATGCAAAGGATATGAAGGCAAAAATATGTTTACATCAGGATCCTTTTCACGCGATGGGTACCATGTAAAAAAAGGCTGTGTAAAAAAGAACTGTATAAAATAGAGGAAATCTGTTGCTTCTTGACAAATGAAGATTCACGTTTGAATGTTTTTGGTTCTCTACTCTAGCTCTAAAGTGATTATTTCTTTACATTATAACGATAAGGAAATATGTAACGTATGTCTATACCAGATCATCAATCACGGTATAAAACTTCCTTTCTTGTACATCACAGAAATTAGAATTTTATGAAGAGAAAGGTTTGAAATATTTGTGTAGAATATACATTATCCCCTCGACATTTCAGCGATTTAATTCGTATGCGCTTTTGAGGCAATTGCGTAAAGGTAAGTAAACCGTGTAAAAGAAATTGTGTAAAAGTGAGTGTTGTAGAAAAGGGAA